AAGAACCAGACTGAAGGGAGGTTGAAGCCTCTTAGGGTCAGCACACCTAGCTCAGCCTGACTAGTAATTCCTGCAGATGGCAAGAAACCAAAGCCAGGACCAGGATCTGGGGCCACTGATGCAGACCCTACCCCACCCCCTGGCCCCTAGGCCACCTACACACAACTAGGGATCTTGGTCCCATCAGTCACATTGCTCACTGACTCCAGTGGCTTCAGTGACTGGACCCAAACCAACCCAAAGTGTTTGATAAAGAGCAAATCAAACAAATCATCTTAACTACTGACCTTGCAATTAGCATCTCAGTTCATAATCCACTATACTACACTACCTGGGCTTTTTTTAAAATGAGGTGGTGTTGTTGTTGTGAAGTGCCATCGAGTTGGTTCCGACCCATAGGGACCTATATAGGGTTTCTGAGGAGCAGCTGGTGAGTTTGAACTGCCGACCTTGCATTTCAAACAGCTTTGCAGTCTGGTGCATTAACCCACAGCGCCACACCAAGACTCCTAAAATGAGGTGGTGTGGGTGGGGGCTATGTGCCGTGGAGTTGGGTTCGAGTCATAGTGACCCTGTATAGGCTTTCCGAGTCTGTAAATCTTCATGGGAGCAGAAAGCCTTATCTTTCTCCCACAAAACAGCTGGTAGTTTCGAACTGCAGACCTTAAGGTTCGCAGCCTGATTCGTAACCACTACGCTACCAAAACTCCTTAAAAATGAGGTAGGAGAGCATAAAAAAAAAAAAAAAATGGAACTACCTTTTGAGTTTCTTTTGTATCGAAGGTTTCATTCTCTAACTCGTCTATTTCTCATCTGTTTCTCTTTCTATGTCCTTAAGGACAGGAACAGTGTCATTTTATTAATAACATTTATGAAAATGACCATGTGTCATGATCTGGAATTTCATACATTGCAGTTTACAAGGTTTAATGGCATCTGCATACAGAAGGCCATGCCCTGTGCACTCCTACAGGGCAGTGCTCCAGACTAACTCATCTCTATGCCCTCAACACAGCACAGGGGCCCTGGCTCAGAGTTAATCAGCCATAAACTTAATTGAACGAATGGGTGAGTGAGTAGATAAATGAATGAAGTATAAATACACTATAGTTTCACATAATATTGAGTGCCTCCTATTTTCCATTTCAGAGCCCTCCAGGAATTCAGGCCCAGCAAAAGTAGTATATATCCACAGGGGTCAAGGGCTGACCATGCTTTGATAACATTGATTTTCTTGCTGTGACCAGAGGGCTAGATTCACATTGACACTGTGAAAGCACTGGGGAATCTGTTGATTTGTTTATTTCTTCTAATATGTAAGGTTCTGGTGATTTTGTCGGTGCCACTTCTGTCTGGAAGGTAACAATCATATAGCCTGGACCAATCATTTATTTTCATATTCGACCACCTCTTTTGCCCCAAAAGAAGAAAAAGAAATCATAGTTCAATTACTGAGCGTATGATGTAAGCCACTTCCATCTCCTATAAGATTTTGGATAAGGTCAGCAGGAGAAGAAAGACTGGTAATAATTGAAGATGCTTTTTCTTTTTTCAGAAAACAGGAAGAAACTGATGATGTCAGTTAATACAGTGAAACAGCTAAACAACCTGTATTATGGGGCACCACTATCTTGGTTTCTTGGAAACCCTCTAGGAAAGTGCAGGGAGGCTCTTTGGGCCTGGTGGAGAATGCCCTCAGATGGTTTGTGGTATCAAGTGAGTGTAATACAATTTGGAAATTGACAGCCCAGAACACAGTAAATTAAAAAAGAAATTCATGTATCTTAGGAATCACATAATCTGGATTTAAGTCTTGGCCTTAATACTTATACACTCTGAATATTTAGGTAAATTATGAAATTTCCTGGCACCTCACTTCGTCTATAAATTATGGCTGAGGTGATTCACTGATCCTCTTTTTCTTCCCCTTCTCATCTTTTCCCTTCTCCCCCTGAATAATTCACTCTAGGAATCAAATAAGTAAGGTATCTGTGGTAGGCTGAAGAAAAGTTCCCCTAAAATGAAAGGAAAACAGTCTCTGTAGCAAGTAGAATTGGTCAATGTCCAACCATTTCAAAAGAAATAGCATATGATCAAGAACTAATAGTGTATGTGTCTTGGATTGAACTGTGTCACCCCAAAATATGTGTCAGTTTGTCTGGACCATGATTTTCAGTGCTTCGGCAGTTACATGATCCTTCATGCATTGATCTGACATGATAAACCAATAAGAGGATTAAGTATCGCTGTTGTTCTTGTTAAATGCCATTGGGTCAGTTCTGTCTCATAGTGACCCTGTATAGGATTTCCAAAGAGAAGCTGGTGGGTTTAAACCACCTACCTTGCAGTTAGCATCCAGTGCTTATCCTAGTACCACAACAGGACTCGAAGAATGAGATACATCATCCTTAGTCCCACCACAACTCTGATCCAATGTATGGGACATTCCAAAGGGTGTACCATGCAACATCTTTTATCTTATAAGAGATAAAAGGGGAGAGAAGTGAGCAGAGAAAGGGACCCACTACCACCAAGAAAGAAGAGCCAGGAGTGGAGCAAAGTACATCCTTGGGACCTGGGGTCCCATCACTGTGAAGTTTCTAGATCCAAGAAATGATCGATATCAAGATACATGTAGATCTCCAAGGAAGTTTGGCCATACAGATGCTGAAAGGAAATGCAGGACCTATGAATTCAGACTTTAGCTTCCTCAACTGTGAGAGAATAAATTTCTGTTTATTAAAACCATCCACTTTTGATATTTCTATTTCAGCAGCACTAAATAACTAAGTATTGAAGGTAAAAGCCCAAGCTGCACTGAAGTTATTGGCAAAAATGACCCCAGGAACTGATGGAATACAAATTGAAATGTGTCAACAGACTGATGCAGTACTGGAGGTGCTCATTCATTTATGACAAGAAATTTAGAAGACAACTACCTGGCCAATCAATTGGAATAGATCCATATTTGTGCCCATTTCAAAGAAAGGTGACCCAATGGAATGCAGATATCATCAAACAATATCATTAATATCACATGCAAGTACAATTTTGCTGAAAATAAGGAAAAATAGGCTGCAGCAGCATCTCTACAGGGACGTGCCAGAAGTTCAAGCCAGATTCAGAAGAGGATGTAGAACGAGGGATATCATTGCTGACAGCATATGGATTTTGGTTGAAAGCAAAGAATACCAGAGAGATGTTTAATTTTTCTTTATTGACTATGCAAAGACTTTCAACTGTGTAAATCTTAACAAACTATGGATAACATTGTAAAAAATAAGTATTTCATAACATTTCATTGTGTTCATTCCAGAACAATCATAAGAACAACAAGGGGATACTGAATGGTTTAAAATCAGAAAAGCTATGTTTCAAGGTTGTATCTTTTCACCATGCATATTCAATCTGCAAACTGAGCAAAATGTCCAAGAAGATGGATCATAGGATGTAGAACACAGAATCAGGATCAGAGGAAGATTCATTAACGACGTGTGGTATGCAAATAACATAACCTTACTTGTTGGAAGCAAAAAGGATTTGAAATACTTACTGATGAAGATCAAAGACTACAGCCTTCAATATGGATTGCACCTCAATGTAAAGAAATAATCCTCACAACTGGGCTAATAAATAACATCATGATAAATGGAGAAAAGATTGACATTACTAAAGACTTCATTTTGTTTAGATCCACAATCAACAACCAAGAAAGCAGGAGTCAAGAAATCAAAACATATTGCATCTGGTCAATCTGCTACAAAAGACCTCTTTTAAAGAGTTAAAGAGCAAACATGTCTTTTTAAAGACTAAGGTACGCCTGACCTAAACCAAGGTATTTGCAATCACCTGATATGCATGTGAAAGCTGGACAATGAACAAGGAAACCTGGAAAACAATCAATGCATTTGAATTATGGTGTTGTGAAGAATATTGTAAGTACCATGGACTGCCTGAATAAGTAAATCAATCTTGGAATAATATAACCAGAAGCTCCTTAGAGGCAAGGATGGAAAGACTTCATTTCTTGAACTTTGGACCAGTCCCTGGAGAAGGACATCATGCTTGGTCAAGTAGAGGGACAGTGGGAATAAAAAGCAGACCCTAAGTGAGATCTCAGCAATGATGGCTCAAACATAAAAGCAACTGTGAGGATAGCCCAAGACCAGGCAGTGTGCAGTTCTCACTGTGAGTCAGAACCAACCCAATGGCACCTAACAACAACAAAATGTTCTTGTCCTAACCCCAGGATTTGTTACTTTGCAGATGCGAATCTTAAAATTGGGAGATGATCCTGAATTATCCAGATGGTCCCAATGTACTTATAAGGGTACTTATAAGAGTGAGACAGGAGAGATATAGAGATATCTGAGGAGGGAAGCAAAGATCATAGAGGAGAGAAGATGCTAAAATGATGGCTTTGAAGATGAAAGAAAGGGCTATTAGCCAAGGAATGCAGGCAGCTTCTAGAAGCTAAAAAAGGAAAGGGAAAAATGTAAGGTAATATATATATGTTGTTTTAAGTTACTATGTCTGTTATAATTTATTATAACAGCAATAGGAAAATGTACAGTCAGTGTTCATGAGGGAGTGACCCAAGGAATATGACCGGGGAAGATGGCATCAGTGATCCAGTGGAAGGTGTCAGAGTCTGAGTGGGTTGAGACAACATCTGTGAAAGGGAGTGAACAGGCATTAGAGTTCCTTCTACATGAGGGCCAGGATAGCAGCACTCATAGGAGATTGATTATATAGAGAGGAATCTAGTAAGTTCATATTTTAAGGATAATGGGGACAAGATTGTTCACTATTAGAAAAGGTGCTGAACTGGAATTAGAAGTATTGGATCAACTCATGGTTTTGCAAAATATATTAAAAGATATGGAAATGAATGTACATATATTCTGCTGTTGTGTCCATTGAGAGGCCAGTAAAACAGTGATAACCCAATAACTAAGAACTCACTTACAGACTAAATCTTGGCTTTAAATACCTTCCTCTAGTGGCGGCGGGAATCCGATAGAAAGTGGCATCTTGGCCTCTGCGGAGGCGAATCCAGCGATCATCAGAACCGCCACCATGACTGTCGGCAAGAGCAGCAAGATGCTCCAGCACATCGACTACAGGATGAGGTGCATCCTGCAAGATGGCCGGATCTTCATCGGCACCTTTAAGGCTTTTGACAAGCACATGAACTTGATCCTCTGTGACTGTGATGAATTCAGGAAGATTAAGCCAAAGAATTCAAAACAAGCAGAAAGGAAAGAGAAGCGAGTCCTCGGTCTGGTGCTGCTGCGAGGAGAAAACCTGGTCTCAATGACTGTAGAGGGGCCTCCTCCCAAAGATACTGGCATTGCCCGAGTACCACTTGCTGGAGCAGCTGGAGGCCCAGGGATTGACAGGGCCGCAGGCAGAGGCATTCCAGCTAGTGTTCCAATGCCCCAGGCTCCCGCAGGACTTGCTGGACCAGTCCAAGGAGTTGGTGGGCCTTCCCAACAGGTGATGACCCCACAAGGAAGAGGCACTGTTGCAGCTGCTGCACAGCCAGCATAGCAGGGGCCCCAACCCAGTACCCACCTGGCCGTGCAGGTCCTCCTCCACCTATGGGCCGAGGGGCACCCCCTCCAGGCATGATGGGTCCACCTCCTGGTATGAGGCCTCCTATGGGTCCCCCAATGGGAATCCCGCCTGGACGAGGGACTCCAATGGGCTTGCCCCCTCCAGGGATGCGGCCACCTCCTCCAGGGATGCGAGGGCCTCCTCCCCCAGGAATGCGGCCACCAAGGCCCTAGACTCACCTTGGCACTCAGCTCCTTGCCTGTTTCCTGTAAGGCTGTATATAGTCCATATGTTTTCTTGTGGCTTGCAAAACTAGTTTGTAATATATTAAATGTAAAAAATAAAAAATAAAAAAAAATACCTTCCTCTATTAAAAGGAAGTCATATTACTTAGAGAAATAGCTGACTTCAAGACGGGGTCAGAGAAAGAACATTGGACATTCTTTTGTACCAGAAAGTGAAAAATGATGGACTCATATCCAAAGGATATAGTGTCAGTGTGGAAGGGTTCCACAGGACCAAATTTAGGATAACTTGAGCTTCAAAAAGAAAAGTAACCTATTGAATAAAACAGTTAGTACTCTATAAACGAATGAGTACATACATAGAACTGTTGATGAAGAATGGAATATTTATATACTTTCTATGTGTCTCTCCATAAATTTCATATTGACTGCAAAAGGAAAGTGTAAAATGGAGAAGTCTAGAAACCATCTCAATCAAGCAATCAAAGTTAATATCACTCGTGATTGAAAAAATTGGGAACTGTGCACTATAATCAGTGATAGGATGTGGTGAAAATTACACAGCCCCACGCTGTGGTATTCCTGCCAAAGTTGTATAACTCAGAAAACATGCAACAAACCCAAATTATAGATCATTCTACAAAATGTTGTTGGTAAGTGCCATCGAGTCATTTCAAACTCATAGTGACCCTGTATAGGGTTTCTGAGGTTATAAATCTTTGCAGGAGTTGAAAGCCTCATCTTTCTCCCATGGAGCAGCTGGTGGGTTCGAATCACTGACCTTGTGGTTCATAGTCCTGTGCTTATCATACAGAAATCCGTGCTACAAAACAAACAACCTTTTATTGATTTATGTATTTGTTTATTTTAAATACTGTTAAAAAGTGAGAGCAGTATAGGATAAGTACTGGACTGATAACCTCAAGTTCAGCAGTTCAAACCCACCAGTCACTCTTGGAAACCCAATCCAAGGTCAGTATGAGTCAGAAGCAACTGCATGGCACACAACAATATTAACAAAAGTAAGACTGAGGAAATGCTCCAAGCTAAGGAGCTCTGGTAGCGTAGTGGTTACGAATCGGGCTGCGAACCTTAAGGTCAGCGGTTCGAAACTACCAGGTGCTCCGCGGAAGAAAGATGAGGCTTTCTACTCCCGTAAAGATTTACACCCTCGGAAACCCTATACAGGGTCGCTATGGGTCGGAACCGACTCGATGGCACATAACAACAACAACAACAAGGAGACTAAAGCTGTGGTAGTGATACGACATGGAATCCATTCTGACTTATAGCGACCCTGCACAGGATTTCCAAGGCTGTAAATCTTTACACGAGCAGAAAGCCTCATCTTTCTCCCATGGAACAGCAGGTAGTTTTGAACTACTAACCTTGAGGTTAGTAATCCAACTCATAACCACTACACTAGCAGAGCTATATGACAATTAATTCAATTCTGAAGTGAATCCATTTGTCATAAAGAACATTATTGGGAAAATAGGCAAAACTTGAATGAGGTTTGAAAATTAGATTGTAGCAATGTAATGATAAAGAGCCTTGGTGGTGCTAAGTTTAAAGCACTTGGTTGCTAACTGAAAGGTCAGCAATTCAAATCCACAGCAGCTCTGTGGGAGAAAGATGTGGCAGTCTGCTTCTGTAAAGATTTCAGCCTTGGAAACCCAATAGAGCAATTCTACTCTATCACTAGAGTTGAAATTGCCTTGAAGAAAATGGGTTAGACTGTAATAAGGTGGGGGCAATAGTAGTTCAATGATGCAATTCTCAACTTCCAGGTGGAAGGCCCAGGTTCTATTCAGATCAAAGCACCTCATGCACAGCCATGCACACATGCAAGTTGCTATGATGCTAAACGGGTTTCAAAGGCGCTTTTAGACTAAGGTAGACTAGGCAGAAAGGCCTGGAAATCTACTTCTGAAAATCAGTCAATTAAAATCCTATGGATCAGACTCCCATTGAGCTGGAGATGAGAGAGAGAAGAAGAAGGCTGGTTGGTCCAAAGTGTGGTGAGACCTGGGGACTCCTGAGCCCATGGACAAGGCCATAGCCATAGAGGGCTAGAGCTGAGAGTGAAGCATCCAGCTGATATGAAGTGAAGGGAGACACACAAGAATGCCCAAACTTGTAGATAGTACCCATTTGACCTAGCCTCAATGGCTTGATGATCAGAACTTGAATAGAGGAAGATTAAAACCAAGTGTAAATTGCTACAATTTGGTGAACTTGACCTATACTTATGGATGCAGTAACTCAGAATACCAACTGACAGAGAAGGAATAATCGCATTAAGAATTAATCCTATCCCTTCTATACACAGGGTTGATAGGGACGGGCAGTTTAGACATTGGCTACCTAAGATGGGGAGGCAGTGGATTTTAAAGGCATGAAGTGACTGGCTTACAAGTTTTCAAGAGGGAGTTTACTTGCAGAGTGTGCAGGGGAAGGTAGTATCCCCACTGAATAGTTTTCATCTTGTCTAGATGGGTCTGGTGAAAGAAGATGGGGATAAGATTTTTATGATTTGATAGTGAGTAATTGTTATCGTGACTAGTTACGACTGTCACAACTGTAAAGGTAGACATTTTGCAACAGAAATGGGGGAGTAGTTAATCTTACATCCAGTAACAGAGGACCCCAAGACCATCAAGGGAGAAGAGCATGAGCGGAATGTAGGACTGATCTAGAGAAGCAGCGACACCAGAGATGGAGGCAGAGATAATGACATGGAGAGATAGAACAACTGAGGTCTCTAGACTCATGGAAAGAGAAAGGATGTGTGCTGGCAGCCAGGAGGCAGGCTTGCAGAATGTGCCCTTTGGTTGTTTAAATGATTATATATTCCTGAGTGTTTTTGTGTACATAAAAAAAAAAAAAAGAGAGAATAGAAGCAAATACTGTTGAATGATGATGCATAGAGGGGATTGTAATCATTGCAATGAAACGATGAGTGTAAAATCAATGTTCCCCTGTGTAAACTATCACTCAATTAACAATAAAAACTTTTTAAAAAAATTTTTCTGTGGATCATAGTGGTCTCTAATAAGACTGGGCAGCATCTCATTCTAGGTCACTATGAGTTTTGGGGCAAACTCATTGGCCACTAATAATAACAGTGTAACTGAACTTTTCCCACCCCATCTCCATGTTTAGTTACTGGCTAGGAGAAGTCCACTAAAAGCATGGCCTCCACAGAAACTAGATGGAAAGTTCAGATGGGCAGCATTTGGGGCCTGCAGTCAATTATGCTCTCTGTGGCGGGGGATCTGAGTGGTGAATTTTCATGGCTTTCACACAATACCATTACAGAACTCCTCCTCCTACCAAAATATTTACCAGAAGTTTCAATGTTTATTTTAACATTATGAAATTTATTTTGAAATCCCAACTCCAAAACTACTCTTTTAGTAATGAAATATGTACACTACATTCAAAAGTTGTACAGATGTCATCTAATTGGCATAATAATGGTTAAAACACACATTTCAAGAATTCGGAGCTACGAGCAATTCAAGCATATTGCAATACACTGGAAGAAATAGGACCTGAGTTTTAAATTAACTTTATCTTTTCTTCATTTATTTTGCCTTTACTCGGGCATATCCAGGAAGCCTTTATATAACCTCCAACTTTTACTCATTCTGCTGATGATTTCGATACCCTTGCAAACCTGGCCTCGGAATTCAAGTTCTCTATATGAAAGGGGTCTACTACATATGCAAGTCCTTGTCCAGTGTTCTGGCTTCCTTCCAAAAAAGCATCTGTACTTTCTCAGGCCTCTACCATCTCTCACCTCAATTATTGCATCCACTTCCTAGCCTGTATCTATTCTTCCTTTTCAGTCTGTTCTCCACAATACACAGACAGGATGTCGCTCGAAAATGCAAGTCTAATTATGTCATTCCAATGCAGAACATTTGTCAGTGATTCCCTATTGCTAAAGCAAAGGTTTCAGAGGATAGAGGAGTTCTATCAGTTTGTAGTCACAATTTTGTGTATATGAGGACACATACAATTTTCTTAGGAGACGTCCATCAATTTCATAAGGTTGCCAAAGAGCCATGGAGAAAAGTTGAGAGCCCCCTGGCCTCTAGATTAAGTCCAAGTTCTTGAGCATGACTGGTAAAAGCCCATAAGATCTGGCTGCTATCTACCTGCCACGTTCCTCTTTTTACTTTTCTTTACCTCTGGTAAATCCAAACTACTTATAATTCCCCATTACCACTATGTTATTGGAGTCCCTGAGTGGTGCAAACAGTTATATACTTGTGCTAGCTAGAAGGTTGGAGGTATGAATCCACCAAGAGACACCTCAGAAGAAAGACCTGGTGATCTACTTCTGAAAAGAAATCTACGCTATAGAGCAGTTCTACTTGGTCACACATGGGAGTAACCTTAGTAGCAACTGCTTTTTTTTTTTTTTTAACCATGTTGTTTCTAAATATCCATGCCTTTACTCTTGCTTTTGTCCACTCCTTAGTTCTTACTTGGCTATCTTTTGTTTATCCTTAAAGGCTCAGAGCAGACTGCTTCTCAGAGAAAGTCTTCCTAGAACCCCTAGATTGAACTAAGTGCCTATTGCATATTCCTGGAGACATTTCTGTGTGCACCTCTTAGCACTTAGATCAAAATCTGTCCTGGATTTTGATTCATGCACTTGTCTTCTGCAGTAAACTGGGAGTAACTTGGGAGCAGGGACCATATGTTTGTGTTGCTAGGACCTCACACAAGACTGAGCCAAGAGTGAATATTCAAGACACATTCATGAAATTCAGCAGAACACCCAACAGGTCATTAGTGGGATTGATGCTTTATTCCCTAACGTTGTATTTGCCTGACCCAGCCGTTCTGGGAGGTTCTTCCATTCACCTGGGATAGGTGAACTACCCAGGGCTGCTTCTCTACAAGTTTCTGAGGGAGACAGCCTGGCTCCACTCGTGACCTTGGGCAAATCGCCTCACCTTTGTGTGACCCTCCCTTTCTCCTTGTATAAAATGAAGTTAATAGTCCTACCCCGCCCTGCCTCACCCTAGTAGTGAAGACAGATTGGATAATGGGCTTG